ACTCTCTAGCTCTCTCTTTCTCTTTCTCTCTCTGTCTGTATCACTCTCAAACAAGCAGACACAAACTATAGAAAACGTCTTGGTATCGCTGTTTTGCAGTATTGACTGCCAGCCACACACAGACGTTAAAGTGGGTACACAAACTGAACTAAATGTCATAGTTTTGTCCATGAACTCCGCCTGGATTCCACCTCAGCAATATTCAGCAATATTTCAGGCTCTGTATGGAGCAACTGGTCTGATCACCAGATTGGCCACAGCAGTCTGACGCTGGGTTTTGTTTCTTCAAAAATTGATCCAGTCCACCTCATTGTGGCCGCCATTGCTGCATCCTTAATGGATTACCCCCACTTAAATGAATGGTAGAACTGGTGTTTTAGACTGATTGGATCTGAATATGGGCCTTGCTCAAGGACACCTGAGTGGTGATAATGATTTTTGCCACCTTCATTTGATATTGGACTTAGCATAATTACCATCTTCCAGCTTGTAAATCGTGTTCACCTCAACGTCCAAGTCATAATTAGAACTGTGGAACTTGATAATATGGAAACGCTTTTAAGAACAAACAAACATGGACACGTCAAACCTCATGTAGGCCAAAGTCTTTAGTTCAACATAATTAGACTCAAAAATAGGGAATATAGTTATAGTGTAGTATGCGTGAGAGTTGAGAATTTTTAACCTTAACATGAACAACTCTGCAGTCATACAACCACATTGAGTTATCCAGTGACATGAACACCATCCCATATTTGCTCACAGGCACCATAGCACATATAAACACTTGGTTTTCTTCCCCTGCTCGTCACAGCCAGTCTAGGGATCAGAACAAATAATCATCTCCCCAATGGTCACACCTTGTGGGAGTTCAGGTGCAGCTCTATCACAATCAGCCCAGCTTCCCTGGTTAAGCACTTTAATTGCGATGCTAATATGAAAATGTTCAAGAGTTCAGAGGGATCCATTTGGTGCCATTTTGCCACATCTTTAATAAATCAATGAACACACTGAGGTTAAAATGTGTTTGGATTCATTTTTTATCTTATTTTGCAAAAGATGACATGTTTTATATCAGTGCCGCATTATTTGATGCTTGCTTCCTGTCAATTAACTGAGATAGAGCCATGCTAACAGCGCTGATGCTGTACTAAAGGAGGCTAACAATGAGGTATGCAGGTAAAATGCTCAAGTTTACAACCTTAGAATATTAGCATGCTAACAGAAATTAGCACTAAACACAAACTGCAGGTTGAGGCTAATGGAAGTTATTATAATGGTATGATGGTACTGTGGGCGCTGTGGATGTCTGTATACACATCAGTTGTTGAGATATTGGTCCAACCAACAGATGGCAGACCGACTGACATTACTGTCCACATTTAGTCTTTTTATTTATATCAGGATTAAGATATGTTTGACACAGCAAACATTGCCTTTCGAAAACAAATAATCTTATTAAGGCATGTTTCGGAAAATTATGGAAATGTAAACTCAAGATGGTAAAAACTAGTTTTCGCCTTCAAGTGACAAGAACAGCAGGCTGTGGTTTCATATGCAAAACGATTTAGCCTTGCTGCCACAAATTGCAGCAGGTTTCGTGTATTCCCTCCTCTAAATTCAGCTGTTACTATATGAAATGCGCTCCCAGTGACCCGACTAAACATCGCCTAAATTTGTCTTACTGCCCTTTTCACACTGAGGACATGACAGCACGGCAAGCAGCAGCAGATGGCCAAAAAGGCTTCCTATTTTCACAGACTGCTAATTAGAGCCCTTACCACAGCTCACCTTTAATGTCAGCCGCAGACTGCTTTTAGCACAATTAGCCTAATGGGGTCCAGGCCTGTGAATAGCCTGTAATGATTAGTCGGGGCCAGCCGTTGCACTGGAGTTTATGCATGTCAAAATAAAGAACAAGAGGGGTTTATTGCACCGTGGATCCATTTATCACTGCAGCCGATGGAGGACGAGACAGTAACCATGATTACCCAGAGAAACTATTTAATTAGATGCATTAATAATTGAACTAATTAGCTCCCATGTGTCTCCTAAATGAAGAGGGAACCCGGAGCTTCACTTGCACCTCATCAGCTGATTAATTAGTCTGTTGATCGTTAGCTGTCTTGACGGCCTATATGCGATCAGATGAGAGGGCGGATAATGAGGGAATTGTCGGTCGATGGTGCTGGTTAATTAGTGTGACCTGATCCAGGGGCCATGTTAGAACAGTAGTTTATGCCACAGCTTCTAATGAGAAGGATTTAGGGCTGGATGATCTATTTGGAAACAGGCTGCAGTGTTGTTTATGGACTAGGTTGAGTACTAGCCTCCAAAGCCCCCACTATAATGTTCCAATAATCTATATCTACAGAGACCGTCTGTGGTGCTCAATATTAACTTCAAATAATGACCGTACCATACTTTGGGGTATTTTGATTCTTAAATCCTCAATATACTGTAGTAATTTGCAGTAGCTCTGGGACTCCACATTGAGTTCCAAGGCTATTTCGATTTTATCTATCGTATTCCTATAATATTGTTAGAATACTACAAAGACTTGGTCTGTGGTAGGTCTGTTAGTTAGTAGAGCTGTTTTTAGGTGGTTTCATCTTCAGTATTATTCTGGACTTAGAAAAGTTTGCAATGGTTAATCCTAATCAGTTGGTAGAGCTGGCAACCCATGTACTGAGGCCGAGTACTTGCTGCAGCGGCCCTGGGTTCGAATCCGACCTGCGGCCTTTTGCTGTGTGTCATCCCCTCTCTCTCTATCCTGCTTTCTTGTCTGTCTTCAGCTGTCTCTATCAAATAAAGGCATGAAAAGGCCAAAAAAATAACTTTGAAAAAAAAAGAAAAATATTCCTACAAAGACCTGTAGTATAATAGATCTAGTGAGTGTATAACAATACAGCTATATAGTGTATTTAAAGTATATCCTCTAATTCCCCACCTCTTGAGGAAAAGATCTATTCACAAAAGTATCATGATTTTTTTTAAATTATATTTTTATTGATTTATTGATTCCTGAATTGATTATTCATAAATAACTAGCGCTTAATCCATTAGCTATAATGGGAATTACCATTAACTTGCTAACGGAAAATTAGCATCAACATTATATTATCAAGCAATCCATTTTGCTTCCCATGCTTAAAGGACCACTGTTTTAGATTTAGCGACATCAAGCGGAGTAGTTTCTGATTACACCCACTCGCCTCACCCTCTCATTCTAAGCATGTAGGAGAAACTAAGGTGGCTACAAAACAAGAAACAAAGAAAGGCCATAACTAGAGCCAGTGTTTGGTTTGTTCTTTCTGGGCTGCCGTAGAAACATCCTCCTAAATGTTGCACTCTGGATCTTTAACATGAATCAACATGTGTGCTCATATTTACAGATATATATTACCTGTGCTAAATGTAGCATTTTACTTCAAAAAGTATATGTTTTTACCCATTCTTTGCATTTTAGCTATATGCAGTCAAGTCCAGGGTTTTGAAAGGACAGTTTTCAAGTTCAGTTTCATATGGGAAGGATGTTAATGGTAATGAAGGCTCACATTTGTGCTGTGTGCAGTTTTCCGGGGGTATGTTAATTTTGGCTTAAAATCTTCTTTTGTTTTATATTTCTTATGGCACTAATTTTATGAGCAGGAACAGCTAAATGTAGCACTATATGCAGTATAACAATGATGCTGCTGAAAATAAAACTCAGAAAGACTGACTGTGATGTGCATTGTTTTTGGGAAATATGACTGATGAGTCATGTAAGTGTGTGATTCAACTTTTTCCCATGGTCTAGTGTGAAAAAAAGCAAATATAAATCGCAATAAATCGTAATATCGAATTTCAAAACATATAGTATTGAACTGAAGATTATATCACCCCAGCCTTAATAGTGTTACTATAATATTTGTTATTTAAATGAATATTTCAACTTGTAGAACTTGTTTTTTAATATCACGCATATATAATTGCTACAAGGACCTGCAGTCTGTGGCATTCATTCATACAGTATACATCATATTATTTATACTGTTATATTTACTTTATTTACGTTTTCTTCTACATGGGTCTATAGCAGACCTATAGCTGATCTCCCACAAGGACATCTAGTATACAGTAACTGGTCATCAGTGGTGGACAAGTGCAAGTAGTGTACTTTAGTACAAATTTGAAGTACATAACTTGAATATTTACATGTCCTATTGCTTTATAGTTCTACTACACTATTTCAGAGGGAAATAATATACTTTTTACTTGGCCACTGCATTTGTTTGACAAGTTTAGATTAATAATACAAAATATAATCAACAAATAAATGTAGACTTTACTGATCCCTGGGGGATATTTCACCAGCTACCCAGCAGTATATAAAGTAGCCTAATTAAAATCTGCCCCACCTTTAACAGCTGCAACATTTAAGCGTCATTATTTATTTTAAAGTATTGCTGTAACATTCCTATAATATTCAAGGATTATGTAATAAACCCATATATGTTTGTATGTGTGTTTATCTTATATTCCAATAACATTCCTCCAAGGACCTGTGATAGAGTTTAGTCACCTTTATCCTGTAATAGTGGGTACTCTTACCCTCATCTAAGCTATTATTACTTTTACAAAGAAATATGTTCACAAATAAGGGACGAACACACTGAATATATGTCACACGCACGCACACGCACACGGCGACGCGCGTGTGAGCGTGCGCGGTGCGGGCGCTGCATCTGCCGTGCTGAAAGCCACTGCTTTGACTACAGGGCGCCCTGGAGATAATTGGTGTCCTTGGAGTTGAATAAGCTCATTCTAAAACACCTCAGGCCCGGGCTGTCCTGGTGTGTGACTGTCTATTGAATAATTGATTCAGAGAGGGAGAGGGGGGCGGTAACTATCA